CACCCAATAGTATTCCCACTCATTGATCATCATCCGTTCTCTGGCCCCCCCCCAGTTTTTTCATCATCACTCCTCCTGCTCCTCTTTACTTCTAATGATGATCAGAAACCGTCCGTGATTCTGGATCCACGAGGCGGCACCGGGAATTTTCATGGAGAATTCAGAATTCTGTCCAGTGGTAATAAATGAAACATTATTGTCGGGTTTTGGAAAGATCAATGTGGTTGTGGGGGGTGGAGCGGGGTGTACGCCGGAGATGAGCGGGGTATGTGGATGTGCGGTCATTGTATCTTTATAGGACACAATTTTCACGTCTGTACGGCGAGTTCTCGTATTCCCGACGCTGAACATTGTACTCCGTCCTGTATGTCATCAGATCCTTCCTTCTGCCGAAGGGCACCTGAGGAGGAACAAACTCAGAGTGAACAGACTGCATGTAACCTGATCCCGCTCTCATACTATTGGTTTGTATCTGTGTCACTCACTTCTTAGATCGTGGCAAAGACTTCTGCACAGCAGACATAGAAGTGTTATGTCCGTTGTCATAACGTCTGGCGCTCCTCTCCCGCACATGCAACCCTCAACACTCCTCTCCCGCACATGCAACCCTCAACACTCCTCTCCCGCACATACAACCCTCAACATGCTTCTTCCACACATACAACCCTCAACACTCCACTCCCGCACATACACCCTTCAACCCTCCTTTCCCGCACATACAATCCTCAACACTCCTTTCCCGCACATACACCCCTCAATACTCCTCTCCCACACATACAATTCTCAACACTTCTCTCCCGCACATACAACCCTCAACACTCCTCTCCCGCACATACACCCCTCAATACTCCTCTCCCACACATACAATTCTCAACACTTCTCTCCCGCACATACAACCCTCAACACTCCTCTCCCGCACATACACCCCTCAATACTCCTCTCCCACACATACAATTCTCAACACTTCTCTCCCGCACATACAACCCTCAACACTCCTCTCCCGCACATACACCCCTCAATACTCCTCTCCCACACATACAATTCTCAACACTTCTCTCCCGCACATACAACCCTCAACACTCCTCTCCCGCACATACACCCCTCAATACTCCTCTCCCACACATACAATTCTCAACACTTCTCTCCCGCACATACAACCCTCAACACTCCTCTCCCGCACATACACCCCTCAATACTCCTCTCCCACACATACAATTCTCAACACTTCTCTCCCGCACATACAACCCTCAACACTCCTCTCCCGCACATACACCCCTCAATACTCCTCTCCCACACATACAATTCTCAACACTTCTCTCCCGCACATACAACCCTCAACACTCCTCTTCCGCACATACAACCCTCAACACTCAGCTCCCGCACATACAACCCTCAACACTCATCTCCCGCACATACAAGCCTCAACACTCCTTTCCCGCACATACACCCCTCAATACTCCTCTCCCACACATACAATTCTCAACACTTCTCTCCCGCACATACAACCCTCAACACTCCTCTTCCGCACATACAACCCTCAACACTCAGCTCCCGCACATACAACCCTCAACACTCATCTCCCGCACATACAAGCCTCAACACTCCTTTCCCGCACATACACCCCTCAATACTCCTCTCCCACACATACAATTCTCAACACTTCTCTCCCGCACATACAACCCTCAACACTCCTCTTCCGCACATACAACCCTCAACACTCAGCTCCCGCACATACAACCCTCAACACTCATCTCCCGCACATACAAGCCTCAACACTCCTTTCCCGCACATACACCCCTCAATACTCCTCTCCCACACATACAATTCTCAACACTTCTCTCCCGCACATACAACCCTCAACACTCCTCTTCCGCACATACAACCCTCAACACTCAGCTCCCGCACATACAACCCTCAACACTCATCTCCCGCACATACAAGCCTCAACACTCCTCTCCCGCACATACAACCCTCAACACTCCTCTCCCGCACATACAATCCTCAACACTCCTCTCCCGCACATACACCCCTCAATACTCCTCTCCCGCACATACAACCCTCAATGTGCTTCTTCCACACATACAAACCTCAACACCCCTTTTCCGCACATACAACCCTCAACGTGTTTCTTCCACACATATAACTCTCAACACTCCTCTCCCACACATGCAACCCTCAACACTCCTCTCCTGCACATACAACCCTCAACACTCCTTTCCCGCACATACACCCCTCAACACTCCTCTCCCACACATACACCCCTCAACACTCCTCTCCCGCACATACAACCCTCAACACTCCTTTCCCGCACATACACCCCTCAATACTCCTCTCCCACACATACACCCCTCAACACTTCTCTCCCGCACATACAACCCTCAATGTGCTTCTTCCACACATACAACCCTCAACACCCCTTTTCCGCACATACAACCCTCGACGTGCTTCTTCCACACATATAACTCTCAACACTCCTCTCCCACACATGCAACCCTCAACACTCCTCTCCCGCACATACAACCCTCGACACTCCTCTCCCGCACATACAACCCTCAACACTCCTTTCCCGCACATACACCCCTCAATACTCCTCTCACACACATACACCCTTCAACACTCATCTTCCGCACATACACCCCTCAACAATCCACTCCCGCACATACACCCCTTAACCCTTCTTTCCCACACATACACCCCTCAACTCTCCCGCACATACAGCCCTCAACACTCATCTCCCGCACATACATCCCTTTAATACTCCTCTCCCGCACAAACACCCCTTTAATACTCCTCTCCCGCACATACACCCCTCAATACTCCTCTCCCGCACATACAACCCTCAACACTCCTCTGCCACACATACAACCCTCAACACTTCCAGTTCTATGGCAGGTCTGGGCGGAGGGTTGATTTTGCCCCTTTATGAAGGGGAGTCTGCCAGGGGCACGGCGTGTGCTGGGAGTACCCCTGTTTCCTGTGAGTACAGTCGCAGCGCCTTGTTGTGTCACACGAGAAATCACTGACCTTTCAGCTTTGAAACGGCTGTAAGGAGATAAATCCGGGAGGAGGGGGGAGGGGGGGGGGATTTCATTAGGGACTTGAGCCGGAGGACATGAGAGTCCGAGTAATGAGCAGCTTAG